TTCAGCCCAAGTTCTCTGTCTACCAAGTGTACACTATTTTGATCTTCTATCAGTGATATGCATTTATTTGCTCAGCTGGCTTGGAAGATCTGACATTGCCTGAAAATCCTCTTCCTTCTTTCCGGCGGAAAACTAAACAAGCTACTTTGTTTCCCAATTAGACCTATAGTTTCACAATCATCATCTTGTTCAGTTCTGCTTTTCTTTGCATATCATGACTCTTATTTTCCACAAACTACCAGAATTAAATTTGCTCAAATTTCTTTTTGAGTCGCCCAGATTACAGAAAGTCAAAAGTGTACACACACCAGTTTACCTACAAATCAAAAAATGTCTCCAACGAAGTGGAATGTGGTACATGACACTCCAAAGGATTCACTTCAACAAGAAGGCAGATTGACCAGACTTGTCAGGCAAAATGTTTCCCTGCAGCCCATCATCCATCACTGCCACTCACGCATCAAGCTTCTTCCCACTGCACCTCAACATTTCTCACTGCCCCTTTCATCGAGAGTCTAATCGCTAGCAATCACTTCTTAGCCAACTGTATGTTACGCAGCATTCCAGTCTTAGACTGTCCTACCTTCTTTGTAAAGCCTTCTTTTCAATTCCAACATCAAAATATCCTCTTACTCAACTTCATTTAAGTTTCTCACTACTGAATCAGGACCTAAGGAATTTTCTACAGGATATATTTGCAGACATACAGGAACAAACAAGGCAAAAAGATTCAAGTAGCATTTCTAGCTCCTGACTTTATGCCAAGAAGAAAAGTAGTGTGCCATTTGCTTATTTTTTCAGTTTATTTATTATTATTTCCTTATTCTATTTTATTACAAAACAATATCCTCATATTTGTTCCCTTTCACATGCTTTTGATTTTTAGACAAATTTCATTTCAAATTTCATCATTAGCTCTACAGCATGATTTATATCCTGTGTTTGGGAAGTTTCCTTTCTATGGAGTCTTTAAATATGTCTTCTGAATGCTCTTGGTTTTTTTCTTTTTATATTAGTTAAATACAAATACCATGAAATTTACTATTTGGGTTACTGCTAAGCGGATAGGAACACTAAGCACATTCACGCTGATGTACAGTCATCACTGCCACCCATATCTGGGCATTTTATTCACCTTTTGTTTCAGTGAAACACTAATTCTCCAACCTGATATTATACTATTTACCTACATGTATCCAATAGCATGTCAACTGTGGACAGCTACCATAAGTAAAATTATACAGTATTTACCCTTTTGTAACTGGTTTATTCACTAAACACATCTTCAAGATTTATCCATGTTGTAACATGTGTCCTAAGTTCCTTGATTTTAAGGCTAAATACTACTCCATTGTGTGAACAGGCCACATTTTGTTTGTCCATTCATTCATCTGACCAGGAGCACGTGGATGTTTCAATGCCTGTTAATTGTGAATAACTGATGGAACAATTTAATTAATATAGAGAAACAGAACAGATTTTGAAGACAAAGAGAAAAAATAGTGTAGCTTAGGACATATCAATTTCATTGTCTGTAAAATGTAGTGCTATGGTTTGGGGTAATTTGAGTGTCCCCCAAAGGTTCATATGTAAAAGCTTGCTCCCTGGGGTGGTTATTGGGAAATAGTGAAATCTTTGGGAGTTGCCAGTCCTTAGGTTATTAGGTACAGAAGGATTGTATGACTCTAGTAAGTCCTCTCTCTTTGCCTCCAGCTTGAGATAAAAGCATTCGCCCATCTAAACAGTCTGTCATGATAGGGCATCAGCTGCCACCCCCATTAGATTGGACCTGAAGCAGGCACCATAGTGCCTTTGAACCTCTAAAACCATGAGCTAAACAAGTCTTTTCTCTTTCTCAGTTAATTACTTATGTACTGTCTTGGCTACTTATCTTTCATTGCTGAGACAAAATACCCAACACACAAAGAAAAGGGAGGAAAGGTTTATTTAGTTCTGATTGTGGAGGTTTCAGTCCATAATTAATTAGCTCCAAAACAGGGTGGCACATGACAGAGCAGCAACAGTTCAAAGCACCAAATGACAGCAAAAGCAACGAGAGTAAAAGAAAGTACAGCATATTTTTCTCCCTTACATCACAAGTAGGCTACTCACCTTAAGGTAGGTGTAGCACTCACACTGTCCCCCTGCCCTCCTCTTGAACAGGCTCAGCAAATCTGCAAAATGAGGACCCTGGCCACCTGCTGAGTCACTTAGTCAAACTTCCAAACTTCTCAACTTGACACAGTGAAGGAACCACTACAACACTGTGGAGTGTAAACAGCCTCTTTAGGGCATGTCCTTTGTATGCCAGTATGTAGAACTGCTGGGTTACTTAGTTAAATGTCTAAACTTCTCTAATTGACACAATGTATCAACCACTACAAGTATTTTGTGGAAACAATGTGAAGCTGATTAATACATATAAAAGTGCTCATATTCAGCAACCAAACATACAGATTCTCAATCTCCCTCCCTCCAAAAAAAATCATGACTTGAAGTATAGATTCAGCAGTTGGAATTTAGAAGGTAAAGGAAACCAAAAGAGTAGGTCAAAACAAAAGAAAGCAACAAGCAGAAAAAACAAAAAAACAGTGACTATAGGCTGAGTGCTCAAGAACTCCAGCTTTGTGCTTATGTAAAGAAAAGTGGAAAGAAGACAGATCGGCATATAGAAAAATAGAAATAACAGAAGTTCAACAGAATGTGGAGTTATTTCCAAAGAACACTTGGGAAAGACACATCTATATATCCACATCCATCTCTACATCCACATCTGCAACTATAGCTATAGCTGTGTCTAGTGGACTTTAAGTTTAGTAGAATTAAATTGAATAGACAAAATCAAAATTTATTAAGTTATGAATATTGGTGTTTCAAAACTGGCATGTCAAAATTAGAAGAATCTATTTGAAACTGTAAGGAAATAGATAGAAAATCTAAGAAATTCATTTCCCTAATGAATAATGTAGAATATGAGGAAGATGTTCATAAAAATCACTGATTGTACACTTGTGACAAACCCTTAGAAGATATCTGAGATATACCTGCTAAAACTTTCAGAGTGGTCTGAAAGAAATGACACTTTCACACGTATGCATATTCACACTCAAACAGCATCTGAAGAGACACACAACTCCACACTCCATTCAATGTAGGAATGACCTGGATGGCATTTTTAAACTCCAGTACTTGGCAGTAAGCTATCTATGAAATTAAGCATTGAAGAAAGATGAGACTTAGCTGAGATTTCAGGACAAGCTCTCTGTGATAGAAACTACTAAAAGCTGGAAAGCTGATTGCAATCAAGATACCATGGAATATCCTTCTCTATCATTGTCTAAAAGCAAATGCATGTTTTCATCTGTCTGACATTTTTGCATGTTAGCATGGTGCAGGATGAAGGACAAACTGAAAATCTCTCATGAGTCTTTTATACTGGTATATGACTCTCTCCACTGTGTTGCTGCTTTGGGTAGAAAAGCTTTCATCCTACTGACTTCCTCTACTAGGTCGGGTAGTTTAGCCAAGTTTCCCAAACTCACTGATTATTCCACTTCATTGCAAAGCTCAGTTCAAGGGATTTACCCTCTTTAATTATACTTCTGAATATTTCCCTCTACTACTACTCAGTATCATCCACTCATTATTTACTGTTTCTTCAGCATTCTTTCCCAAACTTACTTATCTATCAATAAAATAAATTAAGATTATTTTTTTCTCACAGATGGGTAAATATGAACATAAAGTGTGCAAAATTATTAATAAAATATTACCAGGTCAGAATTGTACTGCTTTTAGTCAAAAACCTCAAGAGTACCTTCCAAAGAAAGACAACCTACAAAGAGACCTTTCAAATAAGGAATAAAAATTAAAAAAAGAAGTGACAACAAACTCATAAATGTAAAAATAGGTGACATTTCAAAGTCAATTTATTAAAGTTACACACACACACACACACACACACACACACACACACACACACACATATATATATATATATATATATATATATATAATATTACTATCTTGGCTGGAATGTCCAATGTAACATTAACCCTGATTCTAAAGTGACTTGTGAGTAAAAGATAATCATATTTCTAGATTGAAAAAAGTGAAAGAAAATATATACATGTATATGGTCCCACCACACACAAGTTTCTGTCCCTTAAGACGAATATAGCTTGTCATTTAATTTTCATGGTGACCCCATCTCACAGACTTATCAGCTCCATTTTCAAGGCAAGGGAACCAAGTTTGAAGAGATTAGACAACTTTTCCCTAGCTACATACTGCAGAGCAGAGTCTTCATCCAAGACTGTAAGTTCACAACCAAGGCAGTAGCTTGAATTCACTTTAGAGAAAAGAAATGTGAAAGGTCTAGTTCTCAGTTAGCTCTAACACAAGTTCAGTAGACCAAGAAATACACCAGTATCTTGCCTTTAATTATGAAGTAGACATGATATTTAAAAAGATTGCTGTGACAGCCTGGCTGGATTTAAGAGAGGTGACACTGATCAAGTGGAGTGAAATTCTGTATAGCTCCCTGAGTTATCACAATCCCTGTGGTATTCAGATTTCACAACTAAGAAACTGAGTCTCAGAGAAGCTGAGTGTCTTGATTGGCTTTACTAAGTAATGCAGCTGAGATCTAAATATAGTGCTAATTTCAAGGACAGCATTTGTTCTACAGTAATGTCAACTGAGAAGAGCAAAGCTGATGTCATCTAAGGCAGCTTCTCAGTCTTTAATGCACACAGGAATCAGCTGGGATCTCGTTATAATACATGTCTGACTCACCAGGTCTGAATGGAGCCTTAGATTCTGCATTTCTAACGAGCTTCCAGCAGTTCTAACTGTGAGGGCCTGCAGACCCCTCTTCAGGGTAGAAGTGATACAAATATTCACAGACCAAACCTCACAGGCATCAGTCTGCACATGACATTATTGGCTTCAGTGAGACTGTGTGAATTTTATTAATCCATTATTGTTCTAATTAATAGAGTTGGCATTGTCTGTGATATATCTGCTAAGAAATGGAGTGGAAACGTCACAGAGACAGGAGTTTAGGTGTGCCAACTGTTCATCATCTCAAGTCCTCACCTCAGTTCTGCAAACATCTAGACAACTTCTGAATACCAGAAGACTTCCACAGCAAGAATAAGCAGTCCCCTTTCTAAGGTAGACATCTCACTGGTTCCTTATGATTTTGGAGGGTGCAGCTGTCCTTAATGTGCTCGTAATAACTTCTACCAGGTGCCTCGGTATGGCGGTAAGGCTCAGCAGCCCTTTGCAATGTCCCAGGGCTCTGCTTTATATTTCACTCCTTTTTCCTAGCTCCCTCTCTTGCTCAAAAGTTTCAGAGGCTTTCCTTGTCAGAGCTGAGTAGCACATGACCTCCTCCAGGTCTGCAATCTTGCTTCAAGACTGGCTTCATGGAATGTTTTGCTATTTCAGTGGAAACAAGCTTCACAGCAAATTGCTCTGGTTACCATTGGGTTCGCTTAGGTGTTTGCATAGTCTGCAGTAATTGCTTTATTTCAGCAGGAAAAAAATGTACTTATTACCATGTTTTTGCAGCTGACAGTGGCTTTTGTGCATAGAATCCTTCACATCAAAGGAAGAAGAAATGTGTTGATGGCACACACACCAGCTGTTTCCAGGACTGCCCTCTCCTCCCCGCCTGTCTTCTTCCATGCATCGAGCTGAGACCAGGGTATTCACCAGGGAAGAGTTCCTAGAGGACACTCTGCATCTGACCCACAGTGAACTTGGGTGGGGGCCACTAGGCAGCATCCTGATTGGGGACATGACCCAGTGGCATATGTGGGTAATGAGGTCTAAGGGGGGAAATGGTTTCAAATAAAGCTTTCTACACTTGATCGATATTGCCACAGTGAGTAGATTTGGCCCCTTCCAAAATAGGCATCTCTTTTTTCGTCATCTCACATCCTGAACAGCCTCAGGTTGGAGAATTCAGTGCCAGGAAAGGAGGTGGGGAAGAAAAACATGCAGTGCAGCCATCGCCCGATTCAAATAAAATGGTCCTACCTTTTATCTGCACATTTCACACAGCTTACGCAGTCCCAGAGCAGCCTGGGATGCATTCCTCTTTCCCTTCTTTGAGGCAGTCTGTTATCATGCCAGTGCTCTTCTCATTATTTTTCCCCACATCATCTCCTGCTCCTCCCTCTGCAATGACCTCTCTCCCCTGTGACTGGTTGTGAAAGTTCTCTTTCATTTTCCCTGCAAGGCAATCTTTGTAGAGCTAACTTTAACTAGCTGACCAATTCTTTTCCAACCCTGAACAAAGTTCCCCTGTAAAAACACACACAAGCATACACCAGGCTGATCTGCAAGAGATCAGCAGCCTCCAGACTCCCTGGTTTTTCAGCACATGCTCAGCATTTTCCCAGAAATCACCTGGAAACTGCCTCTCTGTATCTCAGTAAGTTCAAGCTCAGCACTGCACAGGTCCAGGCAGGGGTGGGGAATCAGTAGTAACTCATAACCCTCTACTTGTTCCAAGCTTACAGCTGGCACTTCAGGTCATTTCCAGCTGCCACACAGCAGAAAAGACTCCAAAAACTACAAACAATCACATATAATACCAAGACATTCAAGATTCATTGGTTAAAATCATCCAGCAACCTGGAACCTACTATCCACTTTCAAGAGCAGAATGCTTCTCATGTGAAGCACATATGACACCTGGAGCTGGGGAGAAACTGTCTTCAATACTGTCCTCCCTTGGCCTTGGACCTGTTCTCCTCTCTATCTTCCTCTGCTATCAGCCTGTCGTTTCCTTTACATGTGCCAGTGCCTGAGCCAGTCTTGTTCTAGTCTTCCCCACGTGGGGTGCATTTTGGTTTAAATCACTCTGATCTCCCTTACAAGGCTCTTTCTAAACTGCTGTCCTGGTCCCAGAAGCTGAGTTCTGCCCAGATTATGTGTTTCCTGGCCCTTTCATCCTTATTACACTCTCTAGGTTCTGGCTGAAAAATTCATCTGTAGCTAATCCCATGCCCTGTACGAACAGATTATATAGCACCCCCCCCCAGTCTCACTAAATAAGTGAGTAATCCAATTTTAAAAGCTATACATCTTTGTGTACCAGAAAATGAACTCAATGGACTAGACAAGGTAAGATTGGTCATGCAGCTAATTGTAGCATGTATATTAACCCCTAGAACAATACTCCAAGGAACAATGCAAGAAATGAAGGCTAGGAGGATGAGACACTTCTCCCTCTGAGTTGGATATTATTAAAGGCAAATATGTTGCATGATAGAACAGAGAAGGACTGTAGCACTTGCATAATGTGTGCACCCTCTGGAGTTAGACCACCTGGGTTGTTTCCTCACTAGACAATTACTAGCAGAGTGGGCATGGGTGAATATTTCACTTCTTTGAGCCTCCATTCCTTGGTCTGTCACAGGAGTTTGGTAACACCTTTCAGGCGGCTAATGAACTGATGAGTTTATTGCATAATAATTTCTTAATAGATATTGTTTCACTTTTTACTATCAGAGTAGAATCCTGAGTCACATGGACAATGGAAATTACATGACATGAATATCTCAAACACTCAGAAGCATCATTAGTTAGTTGCATCAATGTGTAACACCATGGAGTGGATTTATATGAGCTAAAATGGCCAAATCACTGGATCATATGACCTCAAAACACCGCCACCACTAAATCTCCCACTGAAACATTGCTGTGTGTTTCATAACTATCTTCTTGTTGATCTCTACTGACATTAAAAATATCTATTTTTAAAGTCCTTATGTTTTAAAAAGTTTATACTTTTAACATTGTCTAAATTTTAATCAAATTTTTATTTTGTGATAATTATAGATTCACATAAAGCTAAGAGAAGTAATATGAAGCTATGTCATGTGTCTTCTACCTAGTTTTCGCCAACAAAGGCATCTTGTAGAACTGTAAGGCAGTATTACAAGTCGGACAGGGACAACAACACAGTCCACCCATCCTATTCCTAGATCCCCAATTTGTAGTCCTATGCAATTCTATCCTGCTTGGGGGATTGTGTATACACTACTGCACTGAAAACACAAAACAGGTCCATCACCACAGAGATACTTCAGAGGCCACAGTCTAGAAGTTCATGTTTTATTTCCTCTAATTCCTGGTGCATTTTATTTGTGATGCCCATGGTGTTTTTCAAGCCATTTCTTCATCTTTCAGTGCATATAATTCAAAGCACAATAGAGCACTGCACCAGTAGGAGAAGCAGTGTCAGCCAGAGGGGAAAAGGAAGGAAGGAGCAGTGTTAGCTAAAGAGGAAGGGGATAAGAGCAGGAAAAATATGAGGAGGAGATAAGGGAGGGAAGGGAAGAGAGGGCGAGGGGAAAAGGGGGAGGGAGTGGAGGAAGCAGAAAAAAAGGGTTTATTTTATTTATTATTATTATTGTGACTATTATTGGAGACAAGGTCTCACTATGTAGTTCAAGCTGGCCTTGAACTCAAGGCAACTGTCCTGCCTCAGCCTCCTGAATGCTGAGATTACGCCTAATGGACTTGTGCCACCACACCTGACTTCTTCTAACATTTTATTTTATAGACAGTCTTTCCCCTGCCTGGCTGTCCAGGGGGAGCATCACCGCAGGAATAGCCCCCCTGGGTAGATGGGAGGGCTCCCATCTGTGCTAGTTGTTTGCTTAAAGAGGGCCAGTTTTGATCCATTCTGAGGTTTGTTTGTGAACACAGAACTCTAGGGGTTATAAAATTAGTCTTCCTAAATGCAAATTTCCAGAAAAATGAGGCGAAAATACAGCCATAAGAGAATACACTTACAATTACACTTTTCATGGTATTTCAGTTCAGATTTTAATAATTTTATTATAAAAATAATGCATACTCACTAAATGAAACTTGACAAGTTCACAAAACTACAAAGCAAAAAATAATAACTTTTTTTAGTCTATAACTATAAATAACTACTATTAACATTTCTGGGGGTATAATATTCCTTCTAGTCTTTTCCTACGTAGATGTAAGTACAATCTTCTATTTCACAAAACTCATATTGCACTACATTGAAATTATAGTTTAGATTTTACCTTGAATGTTTTCTTAGGTTCCTTTACATTTTGTAATATGCTTTATTCATCATATATCTGTACATGATGAATTTTTTGGAAAATGAAGTGAAAAGTCAATCACTTTTCAAAGTATTACAGTATTCAGGGCGCCCCACATTTTCATGAAATTCAAATTCTAGAACTATCAATTCTGATTTCTCCCTGCTGAGGACTACACACAGTTTCGAGGACCAATGGTAAGACAGATGGTGCCTTCAGCACCTTTGAGCTCACAGCATTATAGAAAAGAGCTCTCTTTACACAGACAAAATCCAAGACCACCAAAGTGGTTATCAGTAAGCTTCAACATCACCTGTATGGATTGTGTTTGACACTATCATATTTAAATTGTGCCTAGATGTACTATTTTACACTGTTGAAAGCATGAGTTTTATAATGATCCTTTACTCAGATTCAAAACACTTTTTTCCTACATTAGAGAAATAACTAAGAGTTTATCATTAAATTTTTAGGTAACAGCTTCTTTCCCATTAGCTCACAAACATACTCCCCTCTGTGAAAACAGAAAATGTTTTTCATCAACTATGATTTCCCTAGAGCTAACATCAATTTTGTCTTTCTTTTTTCCCCAAATTTTTTAATAAACACTCTACACTTCTATTTTATTTTCTCTCCCAATACATGTAACTTCTAGCCATGTCTTCTGCCTCCACTAGTCCCCTAGAAAGACCAAGACCTCCTAACTATCTAACCTCGTGGCTTTAACCAGCTTTCTCCTGATTTCTGGCTGTACAGAGTTCTTCTCACCTCTAGTTGTATTAGTCAGATTTTTCACTGATGAGATGCAAGGCCTGAAACTCACAACTTAAAGGAGGAGAACCTTAACTTGGCTGATGAATTGGGGATCCAGTCCTTGATGGTGTCTTCCAAAACAGTAACATCTAGGCGGAAGTGCAGGAAGAACAAAGCTGTTTACTTCACTGTGGTTGGAAACAAAGCAAAGGTACAGTGCCAGAGGGGAAGGGAGAGGAACCAGACACAGACTCCAACACCACACCTTTGTGATCACCCAGGCCCACCCAGAACTATGTTCCACTGCTTTACCTGGACAGATCCCAAAGCCAATCAAGTTGACACTTTACCCTAAGTGCCAGGCAGCCTCAATGAGAAAACTCCTCTGACTTTTCTGATCCTCTGTGATCCTAATTTGAATCCTGACTTTGCTACCATGTTCAGGCTCTTGCATTTCTTATGTATTGAACACAAGTCTTTGCCCTATAAATGTAGCTCTTCATTCGTCCTTGGGGCTCTAGGCCCTCTATTCACTGTGCTTGAATTATTACCTCCATGCTAATGACCTCAAAAGCCTGCATAATGGTGTATCCAAATGAGAGACCTAGGGAACTCTATTCTCCAATTTTCCCTTTGAGCATGCATAGGAATTTCTCAAGTTGGACCTTTCCAAAAGCAATCCATTACCTCCCCCTTCTGAGTCCCTCTGGCCCTCACTGAGTAGCAGCTCTGTAGAATTCTGTGCTTGGTCCATGGCAGCCCTGCCAATGGTTCATTTTTATGCAACAAGGAATAGGATGAATGTTCAGCCCACAGACACTCAGTGGCTAGTGCTCTGGTGCATTCCTCAACCCACCTCTTTGCTTTCTTCTCTTCCTTTCTCAGGGCCAATCCCACCTTCCCTGTCCTGAACATTCTCTTATCCTACTGGAACATTTTTCCACCTTGAATCTCCTGCCTGAAATCCTTCCTGTTTCCTAACTCTTCCATCAGCCACAGAAA